ACTGCGAAATGTGAACAGCCCGTGCCAGCCCTGGCCTCAACCACGGACAAGACCGGTGCGAGCGCTACCCTGCGGTCCTTATGCAGCATAAGGACCATAAGGAAAGTGGCACACCACAGAGTCCACTGTTTTTCCTTGCCTGATGGGCATCCTCCTCTGCAGGTTGTGCAAACGGTGTGGCAACTCTGTCGCGAGTCGACCTCACGTCATCCTGGCAAAGATGCTCAGCGTCGCTTGAGTCGGGCACACGACTGAATGGTTCTTCTGATTGGCTCAGAAACAGGGGAAGTGTGCGCTCGATATGGTTCAACTGCACTCTGCACTTGCTTGGTAAATTTCAACATCCAGCGCGAGCTAGGCATGGCACTGCATATGTCCGACGAATGACCTTGCAAACTGCATGCACGCATTTTCGTGATGCCGTGACGGACATGGACACACATAAGCTGCGTTCATCCATGTCATGTACCACTTTGAAACAGAGCCAACCATCTGCACTAAAACTAACGCGGCTACGACGAAGCCGGGCTCGTTCTGGTCAGGACGTGCAACTGAAAATATGGAAGCGTTTTCATTGCATGTCGTGAGAATTAACGTAGACCCCTGATCACTCTCCCGCCTCTGTTTAAGGGGCCCTTGTATTGGGATCCTGCAATAGTCCGTAAAATGGGGAGAGGGTGTTCTCATCGGCGGTCTTGGTTGGCAGTCCATATAGCCGTACCGTCGAGGGTGAAGAGCGGCCGAGGAGATGCCCGGCCTCCCTTTGTCAATGCAGCGTCTGCTGCGTGTGGCGCTTCATGGTATATGGCGTGTGAGGAGTTGCAACTACAGTTTGTGCGTACATGTGAGTACTCTACAAAGGCGAGGCTCCACATAAGCCCCTTCCCAGAGCATGTAAACAAGCCGGCTCCACTTGTGACATGGGCTGCACCTGCAAGCAGGGACAAAGATCCAGTGCTGAGTGAGCATGCAAGTTACGCAGCTACGCGTCGTAAACGTATACAACACCGGGTCGCTCCTGCTTGCGTCATTTTCTGTCCATCGCTGTCGACAGAACCGGCGGACGGCCTCAGTATTGACCACGTTGCTGAATTGGACCGTCCGCATGTCGTCAGGTACATCCTCCTCGCGTGCAAAAGGATATGTCGAGGAGATTCCAGGCCGCAAAGTTTTGAACACGGTGAGGACCAGCTGCTTGGCGTCCATGATGGTTCATGTGTCATGTGTGGTGCCAGACACACTTACGGAGCGCTTCGGTTCATGACAAAAGCCTACTCTTTCGGTCTGGCCCTGCGTCGCACATGGTTGCACCTCCAGTCCCCTGACTCGAGGCACAAAGGGCTGTGGCAGGTTCTCCTTGACGAAGGGTGTCGCCTGTCGATCTCGACTCGAGCGTCTCTGCCCGGAAGCAGGGATGGCCTGGATCTCGGCTGGATCGGTGTCTCATCGAAAAGGTCACCGGACATTCGCGTCCCAGCCTGGATCTCAGCTGCCCCAAGTATCCGAACCGTCTTAGCCGCAGCATCTGCAGGCGTGTCCTCCAAAGCAGGCCAGCAAAAACAAGCGCTCCCAGCCCGACTGCATGTGTAATCCTCCACCATGTCGGTGTTCACATAGGGAGTTGGCATCCTGTCGCCAGAAACATAGCAAGGACCGTGCTGCCGACTAGACTCGCAATGAGCTGGTACACGAGTACAATTGTACTGTGGAGTCTGCACGACTTGGAGGCTATGGACAAAGGTTGGAAAGGCCTTGGCCAAAACTTGCACCCGACCGTGGGGATGTCTAGGACACACTGGAACAGAATAACACCGCTCGGAGTATCAATACCAAGCTTATGTTGTTGACTCTTGCCGCTTGTTTTCAACTGCAAACACCCCACTTTTAGCCAGATAAAAATGTCTTCTCCACGCAAGCAGAAAGCCACGCAAACTGGTCAAAGTTTCAAATGCTTGGAAAGAAAGAGAGTAGAATCTAGCACTGGGCTAAAACACTTGGAAAGATTCCAATTCACACGGAAAAGTTGGCATCTCAGAACAAGGAGATTACTCACTGTTGACTGCATTCCATGCTTTCATGCCCCGTCCTGTCCCTGCTGGATCGGAAAGTCTCCCCGGAACCTTGGACTTCGAACTCCTTGAAGACGCTGCGGGATGTTGCAAGCTACATTCACATGTTCCAGTGCTTGCGCTTGCGGGGCATCAATAGTCCTCGACCGTGGACACCACCGGCGCAAGCAACACTCGCCGATCCTGCGCTGCACCGAAAGGGCCCCAGGAAACAAGAACAGTGCGGTGCCTCAGACAAGGCAGCTGCCGGTGCATAGGGTGTGGCGATGTGGTCGCGCACCGACCGATTACCAACCTACCGATGCAGGTTGGACAACTTTGACAAGCCTGCGGATGGCTGGCTGCGAACAGTGTTGTGAATACCGGATGCTGCTATTTCGCTAGCGACGAGCAGCTTGCTTCGATCAATATCGCATCACTGTGTCTCGCTACCTCCGGCACCGTCTCCGGCAGCTCCAGTGCTCCACTCGCGATCGAAACCGTGTCGGAGAAGTGAACCGAGGCCTGAAAGCGGAGTTTCCATCTTTGCTTGCAAGAGGGAAGCCTGGGATGGGTCGATCTCTCTCGCAGGTGGTGTAGCCGGAACGCTCCTAAGACATCCTAAGACAACAGAAGACGTCCGAGCCCGATTGGAACAAAGCTCCAAATGCTGCAAAAGGAGCCGATGTTGAGAACAAACAAGATCCAGTGCATGTTATGGTCGATTCAACGATTTGTATCCACATGTCTTTCTGCCTACACTACTCCTGTAAGTGCACAGTCAGCTACACCGCTACACCTTTCAATTTCAATGCTTCCACTGACACCGCATTCATGCCTCGGAAGCCAGGGCGCCACTGAACTGCACGGTACGCACATTGTTCGGCACATCCTCTTCCTTCCCAAGTGAGGTCGGGAGTCTGTCTCAAAGAGGCGGCATGCACGTTCATAGTTGGCGGCTGTGATCTGGAAGCATGACCGAGAGAGCATAGCCCGAACATTGCAAGAGAGCTGAAATCCTTGACGAAAGGAGTGGCTTGTCTTTCGCGGCTGGACCGTTTGCTGCCAGAGCCTGGATTGGCCTGCAGGTCTCTCTGATTGACGTTGCAAACAAAATCATGACAGGTTTCCTAATTGTAAGCCAAGCCAGGCTCGTCCGAATCAAAATCCTCAATGATCATCAATGTCCCTCAATCTCAACAAGCAGAGCGCTCTTGGAAAGCCTCGGTGCTCACCGCAGCGGAGAACTGAACTGTCCGCGCGTCGTTGGGAGGCACGTCTTCTTCCTGAGCACTCTCACAACAACATGTTCTGACCGTCTACCCAGCAGGCTCGCAAAAAAGGCACCAGACCTAGCATCGTCCAGGCATTGAGCACTCGAGGGGTTGGGACGATGCCCTCAGCGGCTTAGCGAAATGAGCAGCACTTTCTAAAGGCAATATGCATCTTTCCTTGGAATGGAAAGTGCGATGAATCCGAAGTGCAACGATTTAGGACACAGACCTGCCTTTCTCTGGATTGTCTGCTTCGTTGTAGCCAACGAATTCAATCGAAGAAATTGTGCTTCAACCACATGCAGTCTTAATGAAGTTGAAGGGCGACAGCCAAGAACAAGACCCACCTAGCTGGTTCCAAGGCACCTTGACGAAAGGGGTGGCTTGTCTTTCCCTGCTGGGCCGTATTCTGCCGGGTGCTGGAATGGCCTGACACGGTTGAGAATGGATATTCGAGATCCAGATGCCAGCAGGTGGAGAGTCATCTAACTTGATCAGAACATGGACATGAGCATGTTCCCATCATCTTTCACCGGAGCACATGCCGTCTGCGGCCCTGCGGAAGCTGATTGCTCTGCAGCTAGGATTTTCTCTGACATTCTGATCGCGTCACTGCGACAAGCCGAACTACGTTGCTTCAGCGACAGTATTCGCTCTAGCTCAGGCTGCGAACTTTGCTTTCCCAACCCGAAAGGCAAAGTGCGGTTTTCGGTCTGCGAACTCGGACACTTGGTGTCAAGCTCGCGGCCTTTACGTTTTGTACGAACAGCGCGGCTCACGGGCAGGAGTGGTAGTGGTGGGTGCTGCAAAAACCCGAGCCTCCGCTGTTTCCGAACTCGAACTTACAAGCGAACAAACGAACTCCGCAGGCTTGTCACTCTTTGCACACGTGCAAAACAAGACAACCCGAACTCCGTTGCTTCAGCGAAAGTATTCGCTCTCACTCGGGCTGCGACTTTTCTTTCACCAACCCGAGAGCCAAGGTGCGGTTTTTCGGTCTGCGAACTCGACTCGGGCACTTGGTGTCCTCGCGGCGGCAACGGTGGGGAGAACTTGGCGCGGCCTCCTTCGGCATGGGACGGGTTTCGCACTCATAGCCTTGGCCGCTGCTGTCGTTGCTGCTGAGACCAACTTGGCCCCCGCTGGCTGCGAACCTGAGGGTGCCGGCCCCTGTACTTGGTGGCTTCGTGTGGCTGTCGCGACCTCCGAGGCCTCCTCGGCATTCGTGGCGCACAGACGGATCTTCCTGAGGTCGTCGTCCGTCAGGCGAACCATTAAGTGCTCCAGGTCCGCCATATTCTCCTCCCCGACCGTGTGGTCAGAGGCCATCACCACGAGCGCCCTGCGACCAAGCCATGGCTGCGAACGGGTCCAGCGAATCTGCTGCAAAAACTCATCGGGCCTTCACGAGCTTCAGCTGTTTGCGAACTCGAACTTCAAAGCGAACAAACGAACTGTGCACGGCACACTTAAGTACAGAAAGCGCACACTCCGCAGGCTTGTCACTCTTTGCACACGTGCAAAACGATGCACAGCGTGCATCATCATAGCCCCAAGATCTGCAGGAACTACATGGAGCATGAACGAAAGGCCTCGGTGCTCACCGCACCACTGAACTGGACGTTCCGCGTGTCGTTGGGGGGGATGTCTTCCTCCTGACACCAGGCTACAGTATCACACATCCAGCCTCACGACGTTCATGATTCTATGGTACACATGGGTGAATAATGAGCAGTTGCAAACAGCAGACGATGCTTTCCATGCGGGAACGGGACAACAAGCTTGAGATGTGAACGCCTGGACCGAAACTCAGCTGCACGACTGGGGGTGCTGTGTCGCTGTAGCTGCAGCTTCGGAAACACCTGCAAGTGCAAGCTCAATTTAGCAGCTTGGCTAAGATGCCGGTGAGGCTTGTGCTGACGATGATTGGTACCCAGTAACAATACAAGATGTCACCAATCCTTGACGAAAGGGGTGGCTTGTCTCTCCCGGCTGGGCCGTCTTCTGCCACAGGCTGGAATGGCCTGACACGATTGTGAAAGGATACCCGGACATGCATCAAAGACAGAGTTCGAGCTGCCAGCCGGTGGAGTCATCTGACTTGTGATCAGAACATGGACATGAGCAACTTCCCATCATCTCTCACCGGAGCACATGCCGTCTGCGGCTCTGCGGAAGCTGACTGCTCTGCAGCTTGGACTTTTTCTGACATTCTGATCGCGTAACTGCTGCATAGCGTGCATCATCATAGCCCCAAGATCTGCAGGATGTACACAAAGCATGCACGAAAGGCCTCGGTGCTCACCGCACCATTGAACTGGACGGTCCGGGTGTCGTTGGGAGGCATGTCTTCCTCCTGACATCAGGCTACAGTGTCACACATCAAGCCTCACGACGTTCATGATTATCCGCCGACCCTGCAGGGGCTGCATTTCATCGTTTGGTTGCCTTTCCGACCCCGCCTGCAAGCCCTTCACCCACAGCGGCTGCAACCCCTCAGGTCAGCGCCCTCAGGCCCCCACCCATTATTTTCAGCGCCCGCCGGCACGCCGCCCCCGACTGGCCATCTCTGAGGGCATTGTAGTGTAATTTCGTGCCCCCTGGGCGTCCAACCCCCTGCCCAACTATGGCGCTTCCACAGACCCCCACCGCCGTCCGCGCCGTGGGGTGAAGCCCCCCCCAAATTATACTAGATTTTGGGGTTAACATGGAACAGCGCTCGGAAGTCCTCATAAAACAGTCCCCATTTAACATGCATAACAGTATCAGCGGTAGTGGCATTCATGGTGGTAGTGATAGTGTACAGTACGTGGGTGTATTTGACAGTGTGTGGTAGTGGTATAGCAGGGGTAATGGTAGTGGTTGTGTTATTGTTAAAACATCGTCGTCGTGGTGGTATGTGGTTGTGACGGTGGTGGTAGCACGCAGTCCCTGGAAGTGGTCCTGGCCTGGCTGTTGATCGTAGTATTACGTGATGGTGTGCGCGGTAGTGGTGGTACTATGTGGTGGTCTTAGTATCGCAGTGGTGTGGTGGATGTGGTGGTCGCACTAGCCATCGGGAAAAACCTGGCCCGGGTCACGCAGTCTCCTATCAGGGCACCATGAACACTCTCCTCTCGCTTGCACTAAATCGACTTTAATCTCGCAAAAAGTGCATCACTATTTGCACTATTTTAGACTTTAATCTCGCGCTGCGAAAACTTGTATGAATGCATAGGGGCAGCTGTGTCATCTACAGACAGAACAGCTCCTGCAAATAGTGCGAGACGGATCAGGTGGGGTCTGCAGAACCAGCAGGTCCTTAAAAAAATGGGGGGGGGTCAGGTCCGCCGAACCACCAGAACCGTTTATAAAATGGGTGCGGGCCGTCTGCCCAACCACCGAATCCTTATAAAATGCGGGGTGACTCCCTTCTTTCTTGTGAAAAGACCGTTTCAGAAAGGGGGTTACCCTACCCCATTTTACAAGGCTATTCTATTCTGGAGGGGGATGGAACCCGACCCCCAGCCAAACTATTGCTCTCCACAACGCCCGGCACGCCGAGCCCGACTGGCCAGCAATGCCAGCAATAGGGTATTGTCATCAAGCCCAACCCCTCAGGCCCCCCGCCGCATTCCGCGCCCTGAGCGCCCAACCCCCCCACCCAATTGTTGTTCTCCACAGCGCCCGCCGGCATGCGGCGCCCGACTGGGCAGCATAACAATTCAATTCCAGCACAAGCCAAGCCCAACACCTCAGGCCCCCCACCGCCCTCCGTGCCTTCAGCGCCCTGAGCGCCCAAATATATTGTTCTCCACAGCGTACGCCGGTACTCGTGCCCGACTGCCCATATGGCCAGCAATCGGGGTATATTGTCACAATATTTAAATCGAACCCAACGCAAGCCCAACCCCTCAGGCCCCCCACCCCGCCGCATTCCGCGCCCTCAGCACCCTCGACTGGCCAGCAATGAGGGTATTGTCATAATAGTTTAATTCGAGACCCAAGGCAAGCCCAACCCCTTTTCCCCACCGCCCTCCGCGCCCTGAGTGCCCAACTCTCCAGCCAACAGCCATTATAGGGTATTATCAGCTGGTGCTGTGTCGCTGTAGCTTGGGAACCAACTGCAAGTGTAAGCTGAATTCAGCTGCCCAAGCACCAGTCAAGTATGGTGGAGCACACGCAATCACTCAGCCTGGCTCAGATGCCGGGGGGGCTTGTGGTAAAGATGATTGGCAACAATACAAGACCCCAGTGTCACCAATCCTTGACGAAAGGGGTGGCTTGTCTCTCTCGGCTGGGCCGTCTTCTGCCAGAGGCTGGAATGGCCTGGCACAGCCACAAAACTTGCAACTTACAACCACGAGAAGCAGTCTCGAAGATGTGGAGATGCCTCCATGTCGGCTGCAGGGAAGATTCGGACTGTTTTTCCAGAAGATGCGTAGGTCTCAGTTTCCTCTCAGCAAGATGTATCGATATGAACAGCCCATGGGCACCGCATTGCAGTACGAAGCTAGACGCGCCGAGTCCTCGATCATCTCTGAGCTTACATGAGGTGTAGGCATCCTGCATATTGGTGCGGAAGAATTGCGTGTGACCCCGGGACTGTGTGACCCCGGGACTTGCCAAACTCCGGTATTCTTCCGTTGTGCAGTCCTGTCTCGGCTTGAGCGCAGCCTCTCTCGGGAGCTCTGTACTTCAAACTCCTGAAAAGAACTTGGCAGACTGAAGGCAGATGTCGATTTGCTACTGAATGCACGAATCTGCAGTTCCTCGACTGTTGACAGGACCGGTGCCAGCAGTGCTCTGCGATCCTGCAAACTTGCATCGTCCCGACAGCCCATTGCCACAACAAAAGATTCTGCCTCGGAGGCTGTCACGTTGGCCGCTACGAACGGGGTTAGGATTCGGTCGCGCACGGACCTGTTGCCAACCTGTCCATATTCTGCTGGGCTGGTTGATGAACAATGTATCTCGCAGCCTCTGGGACGTTCTCCGGGACTTCCAACGAGGTGACGGCCGAGACAGAATCCGAGAACTGCACAGATACCTGTCAGAAGCCCTGTCAGTCTGCGCTCGGAGCTGCTGCAAGTGGATGGCCTCTGCCGCGGTGGACGCCTGCACTTACCGACACTTGCCCATGATCCAAACTCTCATTGGCGAACGCCATCGTGCATCCTGCCTGAGCCCATGGGGTTGGCCTTAGGAACTTCCGCTTTGGCAAGACGCTCTAATGGCTGATGTAAGCGGATGCGTTGTGAATGATGCTGAAAATCAGCTCAAGGACATTCGATCCCGAGAAGATCGAAGAGTGGACGATGGACCTTGTGGAAAGAAGTCAGGGTCGCAACGTTTTCAGCAAAGAGTCTGCCCCAAGGGATGCGGCTCAAAGTTGACTCTGTCACGCTGGGAGGCTCATGGGACAGTCTAGCAGAAGGCCTGAGATCCAGCAGTTCTGTTCCAGAGCATCCGACATTTTTGCCCTCGAGACTTTACTGCCAGGCAATCAAAGCGCTCAGCAACAGACCGGCTCTGGCTGGCCTTCACATGTACGATCGTATACGTTTACAGCATCACGGACTTGAAATCGACATCACCATTATCAGCTGCAGGCTCTTGGGCCCTGGCTTGAGCGGGCTCAGAAGTCTCAGCAGCTCCTGAAGCTGGATAAGCTGGGAAGTCGGAACAAAAAGGCGCGGTCTGACACTTCGTCTTGGGTGAGCTGTGCGATGCTGCGTAGCTGCGTGTGCCTCCTTCGCCAGTCAGCTCGCGAATCTCCTCCGCCATCTCTACCAGGCGCCTGCTGTGCAAACCCGCAACCCGAAGCAAGCACGCACGCACGCGCATACACAAGGCCATATATAGACGGACCGTAACCGGTGGCCGCCTCCGCATCATGACACACTCGTCATGTTTGTCGGAATCCTGGCATTGTTCACAGCGGGAGTATTTTTGCTGCCAGGAACTCGCTTGTGCCGACAAAGCCGTCAGTGCCTCGCCAGCATCGGAGCCTTCAGCAGACTCGTCTTGGCGCTCATGCGCACGATTGCAGACCTGCCGATGACTCGTCAAATGCCGATGAAGAACAACGGACTACAAGTGTGCAGTTCTGGGATCAGTGCCCAGCATGCATATCGGTCTTTGGACTCAATCGACATCTTCAGTTGCCTGACCTGAGCAGTGGCAAACACTTGACATCCCTTGACATTGCGTTCTGTCCTCGGGCCCAGAGTTTTACCCCTGTTTTGCCGCAGGAATACCTTGTCTGCCTTTGCTCAAGCCTTCTTGTACCACGCAGGGCTGGGATCATCCAAATCCTGTAGCGCGTGACACACCCATGTGGAAATAGTGCGCTGCCTTTCGGAGCTTGAAACCGAAACCACACGAAGCTTGTCAGCTCTTGGGGCTTTCACTCACTGAGTATCTACTTGTGGCATGATGATTGCGATGAAACTTACTGTAGACCTCCGTACATGGACAACTTGAGAACGTCGGCACGTATCAGTGCTCGGCAGAAGCTTTCAGCTTTTCCTTCTCGTGGTCAAAGGCTGGAGTAGCGGCTTGCCCCTCCTCCAGCTCCTGGTGACAAGACAACGTAAGCCTTCAGACCGTAAATCGCAGACATCAGATCTTAAGGCAACAGAGGAGGAAATGGCAGAAGCTGAAGCCATGACAAGGTACCAGCATGCACCAGCTAGATCTCTTGCTACGGTGCATTTACACAATGGGGGGAGGCTTGTGCAAGGCCTCTGGGGGAACAGCCTTACAAATCGTCTCGAAACAGACCAGGCCAGCATGCATGCACTTTAACCTTAAATCGAAAGTGGCTGGAGGTCTCACTTTGGAGGGTTTACCCAAGGCTGTCCAGGCACTCGAGATTTTCCCCCAAGAAGTCTGGGCAGCCCTCATCGAGCATAAACCGCATCTTGTCCAGTCCGGTCTGACCGTCACAGTCTGACCCTCTCATTGCAATGAGCTCCTCGACCTCCGATTTCAATTTCTTGATCTGGTCCTGCCAGCAGCGCACATCGCAAGTCTTCCTGCACTCTCGAGCCTATGATCGGATCCATCGAGCCGTCCATGCCACCCGTCCTCCAGATAACGCTTTTCAGCGAGCCTGCGCTCACGCTCTGTCCGAACCTCCAGGAGGGCGAACAGACGCAACTGTGCTGTGTTGCGCTGTGATGCCGCAATAAGCTGCAGTTGCCTCGTCCAGAAGCTGCTGTGCAGCCAAGTGGCCCTTCAAACAGCTTCACAAAATACAAACCGCCCTGGCTACATTACACCACCAGACCCATCTTCTTGGCATGCTTGGCTGATCAGAGAGCATGACGTTCAGATTCAATGGCAGTGGCACGTTGCTTGCTCTCGCAGTACTTACATCTTCATACGTCGTGATTCAGACTCGAACGGGCGCCTGTGCCGCAGCAGGAGTTTCTACGAAGAGAGCATTTCGAACTTCTTTCATTGCCTACCAGAGTGGCGCAAGAGCAGCGTCCTGAGCTCACCTGACGCACCTTTCGCAGCTTGCCGACTTCGAGGTTCCGCTGCCTCCGCTGTCGCTGAATAAGCTGCACCTGCAGGGCGCAGGCTCCGCACACTCCAGCCGAGACCCAAGTGCGAAGATAGCTGCCTGCCGCCTCAACAGCTCCAGGTCCTGTGCCCACCTCGCTGCCGAGAAGAAAGCCGCGAGAAAACTGCATGGAGACTGAGTCTCCTACGAGCATTCGTGTCCGTTTTCAGGGCGAAACTGCGACAAAGCAACCTGCCAATGCAGCGCTCCATTCGCAGAACTCGCGACGGAATGCAGGCTGCTGAAGACGTTTTAAGGATTGTTAGGGCCATTGTCAATGCATCTTCTATGCTACCATCATTATGATTGCATCTTGCGAAGCTTGAGAACTCAACTTCAAGCTGTGCCGGGCCACTCGCACCTCATGCTCTCTCAAGTGCTGGCTGAAGGTGGTCTGCAGTTTTCCCACCTCCGTGCGGAGGACCTGGCCATTGAGCCACACTCCAGTCTAAGATCACCACCCAAAGGCATCACAAGTAAGGACCCGGTACGGTG